AACGTAGCTCGAACACACGCACACACTCAGCTCGTAACTAGGACGCAGCTTCTCTTTTTCACCTACCTCCCCCCGACAAATTTTCTCCCCCAAACACGATTATCGAGACGCTTCGGATTCCACTTTTTGGGTTTTTGACTTTTGTTTTAACCTCCCTCCCCTTTCACCAAAAACATTTTGGCCTAGTAAATCCGTAAAGCATCCTTTCTTCCCCACAACCACCACCCCTTGTTAAGTGTTTTCCGCCCATTTTCCGCCAAACGTGCATGAGTGTGTGTAGGAATACATAATTAAACGATTCACAGTTTTGGGGCATTTAAATTAAATTATGGCCGTGAAGTGTGACAGCGAGTGCTCTGCGTTAATTGACAGATGCTAATTATTACCTAATTATTATTTATGCCCGCTTTGGGTGGAAATATACGCATGTACGTATCCTCAAGTATTTCCCACTAATCCTTACGATCCAAGGGCGTATTGAAAATCAGCTGCACATTCAAATTTCGACACAATCTAAGCCCCGAAAAGCGGAACTGCGGCACTTTCATAATTCCTTCGAAAAGCCGCTCACCGAGACAGGTTTTCCACGACGGCACTGCAATTGTACAAACTGTTGGGCAAATGTTCAACGAGTTATAAAACCGAAACTCGAGCAAAAAAGCCCCCAAAGCGAATGGAAAACTTTACACTGCAGGGCCCAGGACCCCGAAATATGAAAAGTTTTCCTCAAACACAGGCCACGCCTTCACATATGTGGGGGAGTGTGTGTGGGGGGGAGTGTGTGTGTGTGGGGGGTACGTGTGTGTGTGTGGGCGGGAAACTGCCTTTTTGTGATTAGCATAAAACTGCCAAAAGTCTGACTCTGTTACTGGCTTTGGCTTCGAATTTGACTCACGTACAGTTAAAGAAATAGTTTAGGAAATGATTTTTCAAGGTTTTTTTAAGGGAAATGAGATGATTTTTATTTTGTAAAATATTTTTTAAGAATATATACGTTTTTTGGTTAAAATTTTATAGTATCTCAATACATTGGGAGGTGCTCTTGCTTTGACTTTATTAAATCTTTTATTGAATCCTTAAGAGTACTCACTTTCTCCTTAAGCATTCAAAAGTTCAAACTAGTTTCAAAATATTTCTTTTCTATTTAGAATAAAAATTTTTCGATATTTTCCCAAAATTCCAACTTTTCTCTAACCACATAAGCATTCATACTGTTCTCGAATTACGAGTCCTACTCTCTCGACAACCAAAGACACCCACAAAGCTCAACTGGGCTTCCAAATACCTCAGAAAATATTGGCAGCAGCAAGGGCAGACCTGGGCCTAGCCTAAAGCTGACCGGAAAGTCAGACCCGGGACTCCATTCTGGGTGCACTCTTCACTTTTGGATTCCTAGTTGTTTGTATGTGTTGCGCACTTGCTGGGGCGGCTTACCTAGCACATCCGCACACACACATGTGTGTTGGCTGCATTCGTATTTGGCAGGCTAAACGAGTTTAGTTGGCCAAACATTATCATAACTTGGTCGTTTGCAAGCCGCAATGGTGTAATCGTTTCATTTTTAAAACGTTTTTCGGCATTTTTACGGTACTTTCCCAAAATGGCTGCCTTTCCGTTCATTATTTTGATGTCCGGTTGGGCCATAGAGCCTGGGGCATAGCGAAAACTAAGCTAAACTGCATTTGGTTTACCATTTTCTTTTTTTTTTTGGCTTATTTAAAATGCAGTGCAAAGCCCCGGCCAAAAGCTGCATACCGCATAATAATAAACTTTCACTTTTTTGGCAGGCTTACTCCCTTCGACAGCACTTTAGGCAGCAAATGATTGCTCACCTTTTTGGGGAACTAGAAAAGAAACAACAAAAAACGAAAAAACAGCAGGTGTACCTCTTGGGTGTCGAGGGTGGTTAACCCCTTTTTTCCGAGGGGTCAAACTTCCAGCTACAGCTGGCCGCAGGTGTCGGCATATAATTAATTTTTATGCATAATCAAGCAAAGTGAAATAAAAACGCCTATTAATTATAGTTTTTTGCTGTCCATGCCAACCCAAATAACTTTATTCGTGGGGAAGTTTAATGGTCGGGGAGGAGAAAAATTAATTCAATGCGCTTAAATTTCACGTCTATTAGTCTCCAGAGTCGAGTTTCTAGTTTCCATACTCTGCTGTTGCTGCTGCTGCTGGCACTTTAGGCAATTAATTTAGAATTTTAATACCCAAAGTCCCCAGCCCCCGATGGCTAATTGAGGCCTGCAGAGTGACCCTGGATCGATTCGGCTGCATCCGTGGTAGTCAAGGGGTTACACAGACGACCTTCGTTTTTCAGTGCGGGGAAAAGTGTGGAAAACACACCTGACCAACAGCGGAAGCGGAAACTGTCAAAGGCACAACAAACAAACGCAACGCAACGCCAGAAAAAAAACAACCATTAGACGACACAATTTACTAGGTCAGCAGCAAAGGATGGCAGGTGGCAGGCCATAAAAAAAATCAACAAAAAAAGCAAAAGTGGCAGGAAAGGCAAGGGAAAATGGACGCCAATGGCAAGTGGCAACTTGGCAAACAGTTTAAAGTGCCACGCAAGTAATAAGACAAAGTGGAAATTTAATCAACAATAAACCTGAAACTGTTAAATAGGCAAACAAACAAGAAAAGCAAAAAAAAAATAAATAAATAAAGGCAGCACACTCCCTCGAAAATTGAGACAATGAAAAGCCCGTTATTTATGTGGTGTGGCCGGGCTAATTACGAAAATAAAACATGATTTATGGCCAAGACTATGGCAAGGACTCCCCCTCTCATGTGTGAGCTAGATTGAGCGGAAGGAAGGAAGGCCAAGGAAATGTACGACCAGCAAACAAAGGACCTTCTTCTGCTTCGTCGTCGTCGTCTTATATAAAGTGCTCAAGTTGTGGGCAATTATTTGCGGATAATTGGTATGCGAGTCGCTCGCCAAATGAGTTGACAAGCTGGAAATGATAGGAGGTCCAAGCACGTTATGCCTGGCCAGCAGTCAATGGCTTGGAAACAGGCGGTAACTGCAGTCGAATCAATCAGGCAAACACCAACAAAAGAAAAGCAGAAGCAACTCCCAGGATCCAGCTCTTTGAGCTCATCATTATGGCTCATTAGCAAAGCAATTTTGGCTGGTGGGTGCCCCAGTGTGTGTTGTATGCCTTTGCTTTCGCTTTTCCCATTTTCCCCTTACTGGCGGCTTACTCGCATATTGAATGCTGCTAATTTGGCCATAAGCCGGTGCCCAACCCGGCCAAATCTCTCTCACTCTCTCTCTCTATTTTGCTTAGTGTGTCAACGTCGACAAAACTATGCCAGCTTAGCGAGAGACCTCCCTCGCCCAACCTCGTTTCCTCTGGCTCCTTGTGAGACTTAGGCTTCGCTTAGCCCACTGCTTATTACTCGCATGTACAAGACCAAAAAAAAGGAAGGGAAAACTAAAGGAAAAGCGCTGGTGTTGTGCAATTTGGTTTGCTCATGAGAACTAGTTCCTAAGGAATACCATTTGGTATGATATAAAAGTGAGAGTTTACTTGTAATTACTTAAGATAATTACATTAATATTTACAAATAAAGAAAGGTAATTTACTGTTTTTAAAGAGAAAAGTTCCCGAAATGATGTCCCTATTAAAAAAGGAGAGATAGTCTGAGTTTAATGCTTATCTCTTTCGCTCTCCGTTTAGTGTAGATGAGCACTGTTGGCTCTCTCAAATCTGCTTTCTTTATGCTCTCATATACCTGCTGGCTCTCTTTTTCTCTCTCATGCACGCCGAGTACAAGGCGAGCAGCAATAGTAGCGAACGAGAGAGATATCTTCAGCTGCACTCTGAGAGAGCTTTTCGCAGTTTGTCTCACGAAAAAACGGTTTAGGAGTGATCACAACATGCCTTCGATCCTGGAAGAGACTTATAATGATCAAAGGGAATGAGTAAATTTTATTTTAAAAGTGAAAAGCTTTCACAATAAAAAACTCTCTCTTCATAAGAACTTATTTAGAAACGAATTGGTATAGGGAATGGTTTAAGGACTCTCTAGATGGTGAGTGTGTTCATTAATCGCTGGAAAAGTCAACGAGTATACCTACACACCTACACAGATTGCAACCAAGGCTTGTTGATAGCCTTTATTGTCTGAAACTCTGGCGACTCTTAATGTCAACGATGCTGTTGGCGCACAAAGGGGGTTGTATCTTTTGGGGGAGTTCCGGCAGGAGGAGCAGGAGTACGTTGTTGACGTTGCCAACCGCAGCAACAAATGTGCATGTATAGAGTCAGAGCAACAGAGAAAAGGGTTGGCAATTGGGTTGAAAGGGGTTACGGAGTGGGATAAGCAAATGCAAGAGCAACAGAAACAGCAATGGCAACAGACTGCTGCCTCTCATTATGTGTAATGGCTGTAGCAACATCATCAACGGACAGTAAACAACAACAACCCAGAAGCAGGAGCAGACCAAGAACAACAACCACTGCTGTCACAGAGTCCTTTCGGACAACAACACACACACAACACACACACAATGACAATGCGCCAAAAAGGAGGAAGTCATGAATGCAATCTACCTGCATTGCATTGCCGCCGCCCTGAAAGGAATGTCAAGCCAAAAGCGGAAGGTAAAGGAAAAGTAAAAAGGAAAAGCAGAGGAAAAGCTGCTGCCAGCAAATACCTGTAATGGAAAATATGATATAGAGTTTGCTGCGAAAGTAAAGCCAGATGAATGTCAAAAGTTTTACTATTCGCGAATCAAAGAGAGTTGCTTTTAAGGCAGAAATATAAAATCAATGAGAACGGTGTTGTATTATTGTATAATTTTACTAAAAGAAGACTTTAAACTAATATTTACTGATATTTCTTATTAGTTTTAATCACTTTAAAAACACCCATTTAAACCCAAATAAATTCTCTCTTAATAACCAATAACTTGAACTAACACAAATATAATTTCTATCTAGTCCTAACTAATCGATTATTCTTATACTCTTCTCTTCCAGCATGGACTACACATGTCTGTTCTGCTGCAGCCTGGCCTTCATCCTGTATCTGAACACCCTGAATGCCGGCTTCGTCTACGACGACAGGTAAGAGTCATTATGCCCTAGATTTAGGGGAAGCTCAAGCAGCTGCGAATGTAAGGGGGGAAAAGCCTTCAAGCTTCCAGGCAAATTTATTAAAGTTGCGATAGGAAATACTTCAAGAGGAGAAATAGAAAAAAATATAAATAAAAGGAAAATGCTAAGGTAAAAGGTCGCCTGCGGCATGCCTTGATGCTGCAATGGAATTCCGTTGGTGCTTAAAATCGAATTTCAACCCCAAACCCACCCACCGCACACTGACAAGAAGGCGCTGCCAGCTCTCCAGCGACTTTATGCGGCATTAGAGTGGCATTTGTTTATGGGAACCACTGGCGGGCGGGACAGGTGGAGCTGCCGGCGCAGGCCACCTCATCGGCATTTCCCATGATATACGAGCTGCTGGCACCGCCGTTGTCACGAACACCCGGCCAAAATCCTACAAAAGTCCGCCTGCCGTGCGTGCAAAGAGTGGCACAGGTGGCACAGGTAAGAATGCAAGGGGGGGAGGGAGGTAAAGGACTGGCAGGAGCGGCAATAGCAGGACTCACCGCCAAAGACCAAAATGCAAGCCAGGCACGAGTCGTTGAGTGTGTGTGTGTGTGTGGCTGAGTGTGTTTGTGTGGGAAAAGCCAACAGGATAGCAGTCGATGATGTTGGCATTGTAGTGGAAGTCCTTCTCAGAATTGAAGTCGCCCGTGTCCTTATACACAGCGAGAAATAATGGGGAACAAATGTAGGAAATGAAAAGTTGGTAAAATTTGAAGTTTAAGTCCTTTGTACAAATTTTTAAAATAGAATGATGAAAAAAAATTCATTGATTTAACATAAATCAATAAATAGTAAGATCTTTTTAAAACTTATTATTTTCAAAATTACAACAATGGAGAAATTTTCTCACAGTGTTCTCTAGCAGAGTACTGTGCGTGTGGATGCCAATGCCAATGCTGATGATGATGCCATCAGTGACAACATGGAGACGCAGCCGGTTTGGCTTTAACCTCGGGCTGGCCTGCGGCTGAAAATGTGCACAATAAATGCATGTGTGTGGGAATGACCTTAATGATTGGACAAAAGTTGCCAGGAGAAAAACGTAAACGAAAGACATGCATTCCCTTTCTTCCACTCGAACACTTAATTCACTCTAGAAGGGGTTAAAAATTCCAGGAAACTCACTATAAGAGGTTAAATTTTTAAACAGTCCTGGGGTTATTTGTTGTATGGGTAAACGCTGGGAACTTGAGAAAGTGGGTTTGTTAAATGTATTATCCATTATCCTAAAGAAACTTTAATAAAATTGAAAAACTATTTTCTGGATTAAGTAACTCTCCAGAATTCCCTACATTTCCTAGGCAACTCTCACTAAAACCTCATTTTTGATATCCTTTCATTGCAGACGCGCCATCCTGGCCAATGCGGATGTCTCTGGCAGCGGTCCCTGGCAACGCAGCTTCGCCAATGACTTCTGGGGCACTCCGTTGACGGATAACGGCTCCCATGGCTCTTGGCGTCCACTCTGCGTGCTCAGCTTCCGGCTTAACTATCTGCTCGGAGGCGGCTTTGCTCCGTGGGGCTTCCATCTGGTCAACAACCTGCTCCATTGCGTGGCCACTGCCTTGGTGGTGCGAGTTGCCCGCACTCTGCTTGCCTCTGTGTGGGCAGTCCTGGCCGCCGGGGCCATCTTTGCCGCCCATCCCATACACACGGAAGCGGTGGCTGGTGTGGTGGGGCGGGCGGATGTCGCCGCTTGCGTCTGCTACCTGCTCACGTACCTCAGTTATCTCCGGCACATGCGTTGGCGGGAGTCTGGCGATCCTCGCCAGTGGTTGGCCTTGGGAATAACTTTAATCCTGGCCCTGGCCGGGTTACTTTGCAAGGAGACAGCTGTCACGGCTTTGCTCGTCTGCGCCTTGTTCGATGTGATGCGAGGACTGAGTGGACAGGTGGATAAGGTGAGTTTCAACTGTACTTAGCCAGATTTTTACAGAAATTTCTTTATGGTTTCTAAAAACTAATTATAATATTTCTTTATATTTTTTTGAATATCCTTTTAGCAACGCATTCGTTCCGTTTGCATAGTCCTTGGCGCTCTCTGCTGTGGCATCTACTGCCGCCTGGTCATCGTTCCGGGACCACAGACGGCCTTCTCCAGCGCCGACAATCCCATTGCCCGCACTCCCTCCGCGTGGACTCGCCTGCTAACCTTCCTCTACCTGCCCGTCTTCAACCTGAGACTGCTGCTGCAGCCGCAGGTGTTGAGCTTCGACTGGGGCATGGATGCCCTGCCCAGGGTCACCACGCTGTGGGATAGGAGAAACGCCCAGTCTGCCTGCTTCTATTCGGTGCTGGTGGGCGTGGCGTGGCGCAGCTGTCGGCAATTGCTGCTCGGCGGTCACAAGGTGGCCAGCGGCGTTTCTAGCGGTGCCTCCTCCTCCTCATTTCCCCAATATCACATCCAGAAGGTGGCATTATCCGGTCGCAAGTCTCGCTCCAAGCGCAAGCGACTGGCCAACAGTAGCAGCAAGTACCAAGCCTTTGAGGCAGCCTATCATCACCAGGAGTCGCTACCCTGCCGCGACTGCAACAACAACAACCAGAGCAGCAGCAGCCATGGCTATGTCTACGAGGGCACCTCGTCACAGTCTGCCCACGCCGGCCAGAGCCAGCCCCATCACCTCGTGTCTTCCGCCTTTCGCGGCTCCCGTAGCAGCAGCAGCTGCAGCAACAGTACCAACAGCAGCAGCTCCAGCGCCAGTTCCAGCTCGAGCTCTAGCTCCAGCTCCTCTTCATCCTCCTCCTCCTCCTCGTCCAGCTCCAACTTTCACTGCTCCTCGGACTATGCGCTGGATGGCATGTCGCCGGGCAATAGGCACGCCTGCGTCCTGCTCATGTCCTGCAGCTTCCTAGCCCTGCCCTTCCTGCCCGCCAGCAATCTGCTCTTCTACGTGGGCTTTGTGGTGGCCGAGCGTCTGCTGTACCTGCCCAGCGTGGGCTTCTGTCTCCTGGTGGGCTATGGTGTCTCCAAGCTGATGGCCTGCTCCCAGCGCACACGCTGTACCCTGCTCCTAAGCCTCAGTGTCCTGCTGGCTGCAATGAGCCTGAGGACAGTGCGACGGAACGCCGACTGGCGGGACGAGGAGAGCCTGTACAGGAGTGCAATTTCCATCAATCCGCCAAAGGGTAAGTGGAGGGAGATCTGTTTTTTTTTTTTTCCGGCAGCTAATTTGATTTTACTCTTCAGCGCTGGGCAATCTGGGCAGTGTGCTGAGCTCGCAGGGACGGTATGAGGAGGCCAAGCATGTCCTGCAGGAGGCCATTCGCTACAGGCCCAACATGGCGGATGTGCACTTTAACCTGTGAGTAGTCAATAACCAGGATAACTATGATGGCTCTGGACCATTAGCGACCATTAAGGGGGGGGGCAGGCCACTTTTTTCGAGGTTTTTCCTTTAGTTTCCTTGGATTACCTATATTTTTCCATCAATTTAAAGGGTTCTTTGCCTTGTTTTTCGCGCTTTTAGTTGGAAAAGTTTAAAACAGAACTGGCCTCATTACTACAGGCTTCCGCCTACTCCGCATATGTGACAGGCAAAAGCGATGCGATAAATGGCAGCCATTTTCATTATCTCTCTATGCGTTCTCCACTCTCCATCCAAAAGGACTATTTCATCCTCACCCCCACAACAGGACTTCGCTTGGGTGCGCATTTAGCGCGGCCATTTTATGCAGCCAAGCATCCCAGTTATGAGAGACTACATCCTGCGTCCCTTCGTCCCTTCGTCCTGGCAATACACAATGCCGAACAAGCTGTCAAATGAAGCCCATTTCCCTTTTTGCTCCCTTGTTTATCCCTCTGTTCTCCTTGCATTTCCCTAGAGACACGCACCAATCCTTCTCCTACTCCAAGTCGCCAACAGAAAACTGCATCCTTCGCCGCGTATTTTCCCATTTGTATCCTGCTCAGGGCATTTGCGTGCCGCTGCAGAACTATGCGCATTTCGTGATGTGTACACAGAGAGAAAATTAGGGAAAAAGAAGGTGGATTTTTAAAGGAAAAATTGTTAAATATGAGTCTTCGCGTTTAGAAAATCTTCAAGCTCAAGGAGTGAGTTAATTATTTTACTAAATTGCTTATAAAAATAAAGGAGATCCCTATCGAAAATCACATTTCTAAGGACTTTTTAAAACTACTCTGGTTTTGGTTTTAATATCTTAACTCCTGTTAAAAGTGAAAACCCAAAATGTTCAGGTTCTGATAATTATTTAGAGTGCCAAGCATCCCTTTATCTATTCCCATCTTGTTAAGATCTTTAGGCTTAACTCCAGAGAAATCTGTGTATATTTTTCATGATGTACCATCCAGGATGCTCGACAAAAGTCCTTAGCTTTCACACTCTCCCTCGCACTCTCTCTCTCTCCCGTTCCGTCTGTCAACGTCTGACAAAGTCTGTAAGCGTGCTGTGTTCTTCGCTTTCAGTTCGGTTCTGGTCTGTCCTGTTCCGCAATGTCCTGTGCCGAGCTGTGCTGGGTCTGTTGTCTGTTCGCATTGCATTTTTGCTCATTGCGCATATTTCACAGCAGCGACGCGACGCGATGCGATGCGACAGAAGAAAGAAAAGCCAGCACCAGGAAAAAGCGGAAATACAAAGCAGAAAGCAAAAAAATGAAAAGCAGAAAGCAAAAAGAAAAGTGAGCGCGGCAAAGTTGTGTGCTTTGAATATTCAGTGCGTCATTTCGGGTTTCCTTTTTACCGCCTGTCTGTCAACGTCAGACAGCAGCGGGCTTGTCGCAGGCCAGATTATTGCTTGTACTCAGCCAGGATCCCAGTGTCCTTATGTCTAACTCCTTCAACTCCTCGCCATGCCTCGGCTAATGCCGGAATCCCCGAGTCAATGGTTCAGAACCAGGTCACACTGCTAAGGCTGCCATTATGTGTGTGCTGTGTGTGTGTCCTGTGGAAACCCTTCAACAGGCTAGGCGCTAATCGAAAATCAATGCAGCAGCTTCTACTTAGAACGTATCCTGCGGATACACATCTTGTACATACATTATTTACTGCGATCAAATCATCAATGGCAGTGCTCGCGGCGCCTGTCGCTTGCTTGACTGATTGCCATCTCCTTGAATTTCGAGTCGTGAATCCTGACACACACACATAAACACACACATCGTGAGGACCAGCAGGAGCCAAACACCGAAACCAGAAAAATCACTGAGCTGTATAATTTGATTTTTTACTTTACTTTCGAGCTTTTATTGTTGGTGTTTTGCCACAGTTGCTGCTCTTGTTGCATTCGAAATGGGAAATGGGAAACAGGACCCTTCTCTCTCTCCTCGTTTGCTGTTTGCATTTCCCTCCTCCTTTTTCTTTTTGCTTGAGAAAATGTTGTGGGAAAAGTGCCAGCAGCCAAGAGCAAACTAATTACATAAATCCAAGTACACTTTCGCTGAAGGTCGGTTGCCTTTGAAATTCTAGAAATGCTAGTTTCTTGGAAATGTAATTTCTTTCTGTGTAAGTAGCAACCCTTCAACCCTTTAGGGGCGGGCACTTGACTTGTTAGGCGCTCCACGACACCCACAAGAGGCCCAGTCCGACCGAGTCTCTCCGATTTGGACGCTCTAATTAGATCTTGAGAGGCGGACACAAGTTCAGTCTATTAATGTCAACACTTTCACTCTTGCTCGCTCGCTTCAGGGGCATCCTGCACCAGAATCAGCAGGACTATCCCTCGGCCGTGGAGTGCTTTCAGCGCGCCATCAAATTCCGACCGAATCTGGCGGGTGAGTTTGCCACTTTACAGTTTTCAGTTGCAGTTTTTCAGAGGTCTTACATGTTCTCCTATCCAACACAGTGGCCTACCTCAATCTGGGCATATCATTTATAGCGCTGGGCAAGCGCCAACAGGCCATCGAGATCCTTCAGGCGGGCTCTAATCTGGATGGAGCATCGGTTCGAGATCGTGGGGCCCATGATCAGGCCAGGAGCTCGTCGTACTTGCAACTGGGAGCACTCTACGTAGAGCAGGGCAAGCTACAAAGAGCTCTGGCTATCTATAGGGAAGCCCTCTCCTCGCTGCCAGGATTGCCGCAACAAAGGGAGATCCTGTATCAGCGAATAGGCGATGTCCTGGGTCGACTGCAGCAGTGGGATGAGGCAGAGCGACATCATCGAGCTGCTTTGGAATTGCAGCCCAACCAGGTGGCAGCGCATCTCTCCTATGGCATTACTTTGGCCAGAAATGTAAGTTTTATTGGTTGTTAATGCTTTTAAGGATTTACACCTGACTTGTTAACTATTTTTCTGCAGAGCAGCCGCGCCTCAGAGGCAGAAATGTGGTTCAAAAGGGCCCTACAACTGGCACCCGACCAGGCCAGCGTCTATCATCATTATGGTGAGTTCCTGCAAGGATTAATTAACATAGGTTCTTATAGATTATCATTCTTTTCAGCTGAATTCCTATCCCTGCAGTCGCGGCATCATGAGTCCGCTATCTATCATCGCCGAGCCGCTGAATTGGCGCCCAAGGATTATGCTCTGGTGGTGGCAGCTGCCACTGCAATGCGTCTGCTGGACAGGAAAGTGGAGGCCGAGATGTGGTACCGGAAGGTGAGTCTACTTATGAGAGAAGCTTCGCCTAATGAACCTTAATAAAAACTATATTTGATATCTTCTCTTTAGGCTGTGGCTCTGCGACCGGACGATGCCCATGCCCACACCAATCTGGGGGCCATACTGCATCTACTGGGAAGGACAAATCATGCGGCTGCCAGCTACAAGGCAGCGCTGCGTCTACAGCCGGGAGATGCCATTACGCTGGGCAACCTGGCCAAGCTGGGTGTGACGAATGTCTAGCAAGGAGCTAACGTTTAAAGTTAAGAAAATATTTTTATATAAAAAAAAAAGAAAGGGTGAGGGGGAAAAACGTAAAGAAAAGGCAGCGTTAGATAACTCTACAGAATTTATACAAAGGACTTCGATACATATGTATATCATTTAGCAGCTGGCAGCCGTGTAAATATCCAAGCAGCGACCAAAAGAGAATGTCACAAAATATAGTTAGCGATGGGGGCTACAGATAAAGATACAGAGACAGATACAGATGCAGATACAGATACAAATACCGAGATACAGAGTTACACATAGGGATACCGAAATCAGAGAAGCGACAGAGAGAACAATAATTAAAATATCTAACTGTTAAGGGAACGAACGTTGCTGTACAGCTATGGGAACGATGATTGGGTAACTACTCGTAATGTGCTTAAAATATCCATGTAAATGATTGTAAATATGAGAAAACATATTATTGACTATATATATACGATATATATATATATATTATATATTGACTTGGCTTCTCCAGATTGTTTTCTGTCCGTTGTGTAATGTACATTTTAGTTAAGCAAATAAATGAAAGGATACCAATAATGGAAAGTGTATGGATTGTATAGAGATATGGCAGGTGAAGAATATATAAATAAAAAAAAAAATGAAATGAATTAAAACAGAGTTTTTCTTGGGCAATTTTCCACTCACTCTGTGGCACATTCCTGCCATAATTATGACCGCTTATGGCCACTGCAATCTTGTGGAGCTCCAGCCAAGTGAAATATTTTCAGTGCTCAACGGCTTAGATCCTTTCCAGGACTGGCCTTCTTTAGCTGAGCCCAAGCACAAACACAATCAATGTCACAATTTTCGACGACGACGACGACGACGTCGACCCAAGTCGAAGACGGAGACGCAGACGCCACTTAAGCCGTGGCCAACCACAACAGGAAGTAAGGCGCTGGGCTGGTGTCTTCTGGCAATCGCAGGATTATGAATTACAATATACCCGAGTGGCTCAGCTCCTTGCTCCTTGTCCTTCCCCATCTTCATCCCCATCTCCTTGCTGCAGTCATAATATTGCCACAGCTAATGCCACGTCTAAATGGCCGGCTTGGCAAGCAGTCCCCGGATTCCTTTGCCGATGCTGGCTAGCGATAAAGGTGATGACTTTTGACATCCACCCCGAGGAGAGAGGAGGAGGAGCAAGTGCACTCCAGAGCACCGCCAATTGGCTTGGCAAGTCGAGTGGCATCTTGTTTGTTGCTCTCGGCAGGCCCAGAACGTGCCCAAGAGCACCACGGCGAATAAATGAATGTATCAGACAGTCACTCTGTCCGTCAGAGACTGTCAACCCGTCAGTTTGGCAGAGCGTCACTCCGTCAGTCCTGTGAGGACATGGAGGCCTCCTCCAAAACGGTGTCATGTTGCCGGAGCCACTTTGTTGCACTGCCAGTGGAAGCCGGAGGAAGAGGAGGATGAGGAGACGCCACTAAATGCGCTCTGCCTCCAACAAGGAGAAGAGCTGCTCACTAATTGCAGACGCCTCTGCCTCAGATTGCTTTTGGTCCTCGCTCCTGCTTCTGTTTCCTCCTATTCCTCTCCGCTCCTCTGTTTGGCAGCCTTCCTTGCTCACAAAGTGACTCGTTAGCTTTGTGGGCTGTCGGGAGTGGCGTTCAGTGCGCTAATTACTGACAGCCTCGACGGCGGCGAGTGCTCTCGGATTTATGACAAGACATCGTCAGCGTCGATGGCACCACCATTGGCCACTGCTCTGGCCAAAAGAAGTCTTCGCCAGATCCCCAGGCATTGCTAGCATTGGGTTACGTCTGAGTGTAGGACACCATTCAAGTGAAAGGAGAAGGATCAACGAGGAGTTACCCAGGAAAAGCAACTTTTTATACCCTTGCAGGATATTATAATTTCAGTCAGAAGTTTGCAACGCAGTGAAGGAGACCTTTCCGACCCTATAAAGTATATATATTCTTGATCAGCATCAACAGGGGAATCTTTCTAGATATGTCTGGAAGAAATCGATTTTTTGGCCATTTTTGCAAAATGTTATAGGGGTTACATCGTTAAAATTTTAGATTTTGATAAAAAATTGAATTTTCCAAATTTTTAAATGAAGTATACAGATTTATTAACTGTAGAAAATCTTGCACAGAACAGTTTTCCGATTTAAAATTAATGCTCTTTTGGCCGAGTTATGATATTTTTAATTAAAAAAAAATCAAGAAGTTTTTTAATATAAAAAATCCGATTTTATAATACAAAATAATATTTTTCTAAGTCAAGGAATCATTTCCGACCCCATAAACCATATATATTCTTGATCAGCATCAACAAGGGAATTTTTCTATATATGTCCGGAAGAAATCGATTTTTTGGCCATTTTTGCGAAATTTCATAAGGGGTTACATCATTAAAATTAGCAAAAATGGCCAAAAATTTTGATTTCTTAAAATTTTAAATTTGGTATGCAGTTTTTTTTAAATTAATAAAAACTAACACCAAACTGCTTTCCGAATCGAAATTAATGCATTTTTGGCTTAGTTGTGATATATTTTAATTGTTACCTGCAAGGGTATACAAACTTTGGCTGGCCAAAGTTAGCTTTCTTTCTTGTTATATACTAATTTCATAAAATTCTTGGTTTACTTATAAGTTTTCCTAATTAAATTTGTTTTTTTATTTCTTTTGATATAACTTTCCACCTCTTGATAGATTCACTAGGTTATTTCTTCCTTGGCTGGACAATGCCCTGGTTTTATGTTACAGGATAAAAAAGCTTGTTCATGGAGCAGACTGGCCAAAGGGTGAGGGGACCGAGACCAGCACCCCACCTGCCAAGTGCAGCGCCAGACGCAGCTAATTCGAGCTAATTATAGCCCGAGGCTGTGTGTGAAGACGACAGCAGACGAAAAAACAAAAAAAAACACAGCTTACACAATGTTTGATGTGTGTAAGGCACACACACACACTCTCCCGCACAACAACAAAAGCAAAATCGCTTTGGTAGTTTTATGTTTTAATTGTGGCTTACGTTTGATTTGGCCGAAAGGCGAATACGGCCATGACAGGCACAGAGAAGCAAAAAAACAAAGGCAAACAAACATGCTGGTGTGCACACATCACACACACACACAATCACACATACAGGAGGCCACTTTTATTTACAAGTGGGTGATGGCAGATCCGAAATCATTTGTTATTTGCACATTTGCCAAAAAGTAGGAAAAACTTTGCTCCGGCTTCTAAATCGTTTTTGATGAGGGTCGTCATGGCCTGAGCAGGGTTGGGGGGAGGGGACAGCACAAACCAGCAACTGCTCCCGCCTGACCACTTTGGACAACTCCAAAAAGTTCAACATTTGTGGGGAAGCAGCAGCGGGCGATGCTGGTGCCGCCGCCCAAGGCCAGGCCAAGCCAGGAGAGTCCATCCGCCATGTGTGTGTGCGTGGTGGTCGGGAATGATAGAGTTGAGAGATATATTAGCCAACTACAGTGAACACTCTGTAATAAAATAATACATAATTTGGGAATAAGAGGGGAAAACCCTACGCAAGATTTCATTTTTGAGAATTTGTCAGGGTTTAATACATGTGAAATTTTTAATAGTTTTGCTTTCTATTCTACAAATTTAAATATTTTATTAAAAACCTCTTTTAATTATAGTTTCTTTATATTTAGGTTTACTGTTATACTTAAAAACCTTAGGCTTTTATGTGAGTGAGACTCCTGAAACTGATTTAAGTAGGTTTATTATCCTGAAACATATTTTCCACAACAACAATTAAAGTCAAATTAAAATCAGTTTCAGGAGTAGCAGAAATCTGAAATAGCAAATAAATTAGGGTTTATTTTAGCTCAAGTCGTAGAATTCCAAACAAATAATGAAAAGATTCGTACAAGTTTTATCAAAAGAAGAGACTAAATAAATCTTATTGTTTATTAACTTTGTACTAATTTCTTGTAAAACCTTTTTATGACTTGTAATTATCCTAGCCAGCATGGACTTTTCCCGTTTTTAACATTAATTCCACCATTATCTGTGCAGACTTTCAAATTTCGAGACAATTGCTGCGACTTTTTCAGCTGCTAGTGCTAGCCTGCATTTTTTCCATAAAAAGGAAATGGGCTAATTAGCGAAAGTAGGCAACACTTTTTTTTTGTGCCCCAAGGACCGCCTTGCACTTGACATGCAACAAAACGTGACAACGTCAACACTCTGGCGCTCGCATAATAATCATATTGCAATATAATGGCGTGAAACAGCAGCAGCAGCAACATCTGAGACACAACAACAACAGCAAGAAAAGCAGCAACAAAAGGACGCCACTAGCAAGGACTGAAAAATGTCGCCGACAGTTGACAGTTGAAGCTGGCGATGTCAGCGATGTTGTGCACAATTTTTTACTCTTTGCCGCGCTTTTTGTAATTGCACAAAAATAAACTCGCCTCCGCTGCTGTCGTGGTGGCAGGAGCCAAAAATTCGGAATTCTGAATCTGTTGCATAATTTCGGGCGCACTTTTTGCCAGGCTGCTACTGGCGCGTGTTCAAGTGTTGACATCGCCAGCAGAAAGCACCAGAAAAGCATAAAAGCAAAAGCATGGCCAGAGAAAAAGAGAAAGACACAGAGAGAGAGAGCTACGACAATTGCAATTGCAGTAGCAATTTATGGCAAAGATGCAACAACAGCAGCAGCAGCAGGACACCAGCATGAGGGTCGTCGTCTGTCACTGCTCCAGGACCGTTTCAGGAATTATAATATGCAAATTTTCATGTATGTGTAGTAGGTTTTGTAATTTTCACAATTACCATTGCCAGCCAGTTCCCTGTCTTAATTAAAGAACCCCAAGAACTTGTGTTGCATTGTGCAAATTATTTTTCCATGCCTGCCAGCTGTATGGGCAAACAATTAAAAATCAAAATGCCAAATTACACTTGTACATTCACCAAATTACACAGCGCACACATAGACCCACACATTTGGTTGGAGGAAACACAAGGAGCAGAAATATAGAGACATCAGTAAACTAAGCTGACAGTAAAAAGTCCGTCCAAGCGTGTAATTAGAAATTATATCCAATTGCCCTGCGGCCACTCGAGCATCGGGCCAAACGAATGGACAAACGGACGCAAGGACAAGCAGGAAGGCCATCCTGCTTCCAAAACCCACCCAGCCACATGCTGCCGGCCTCCACACCCATCGAAATCCTCTCGCCTGCGCTCACGATTTTTGGTTTTTCGAGACAGCCACAATGCCTGTGCGCCTGTGGATGCCTCCGGATTCTGCCAAGAGTGATGGCAACGTGAGTGGGAATAAATATTAGTAAAATCTATAGGTTACTTGCTTGTAGTATTAAAGTAATGTAGTGTCAAGTGTAAATAATATGTAATTTAAAAAATAATATAGAATAATTTTAAAATTATTAAAAATAATTTTTTATTTATATATTATGGTATATATATTTATATATTTTATATTTCTTAATGTTTTATATATATTTATTTAATAAATATATCAATTACTATTATAGCTATTTTTTATATACAAATTTAAAAAATTAATTTAGCATTTTCATGGTATATGCAAAATAAATCCTTAAATAAAATAACTTTCCAACTATATATTGCACATTGTTTTCCCTCTCTCTTTCCCACTAATCATGACTTCTGTCATGGATCTCTATATACCTTAGTTCCCTGGAGATCCGCCAGATCCCATCACGCCCTCATCTCGCCTCTCAACTCGTGTGTGAGCGTGACTCTTTGCCTGATTCGAGTGTGCGAGTGTGTCTCTGACAGTGCAGAATGTTTAACTGCAACGGCAGCAGCCTTTCCGGTTGCCGCCTACGCCTGCCACCTTCCGCTACCCGCCACCTTTTCCCGCCTTGCTGCGTCTGTGTGTGGCAGCCCAAGCCTTTGGCAGCTGCCAAATTGTCTCTTGTGGTTGTCACACACTGCGTATTAGTAATGCGCCATACGCAACCCTCGAACCGGTCTTGGACCCTACACCCACCTCGGGGTGTTTGTGTCAAGTGTCAATGTCTGTGCTTTCAATTACGAAATGTCAGACAAGTTGAAAATTAAATTCACAACGCATCCTTGTCGTCGTTTATTAAAGTTGGCGCCTTCGAAAAACTTTCCTAAATGCTTTCCAATGAAGCGTACCGAAGGTAAAGGTGAGAACCGAGAGAGACCCTGCCCGACTACTCATAACAAAAAGCGTCTAGAATTGGCCAAAGCCAACCTCCGGCTTACGACGTTGCCAGAAACTTTGGCCATCCATGCTAGCTTGGGGCTAAATGGCAAGTAAAGCTTAAACACAGCTGAAAAGCCCAGGGTGGAGGCGTTAGGAGGACACACACACAGTCAGCTTTTTAAGCCACTTTACAAACAAGCTGAAAATTCTTAAAAAGCTGCTGGAAAAAGAGCGCCTTTTAAGTCAATGCGCCATCCAAAATAGCTAATAGGAGATGAAAGCAAGAGGAAGGCCCTCGGAAGAGGTTAGCTGATCAGGGAAGGTGTTAACCAAGAGTAAGTAAATGGAGTATTTTATTTTTAGCTTTAGATAAATAAATAAATAAACTTTAAGAAATATACAAACGGGATTCGCTAACCCCTATTATGTTATTCCGTTTTGTTTGCCATCATCATTAGTCACTCTATTCCGCTCATCCTCATCCCCTTCTCCATCTGCCTCTCTATCACCACCTGTCTTTGTCGCTCCCAATAGGAATATCCCCGATATTTGTTTTGCTGTCAGATTAGCCTGACTTGTTGATGTGCTCTCTCCGAATGCCCACGCAAACATGCATAGACAGGAAAATCCTCTCTCTCTCTCTCTCTCTCTACTTTTTACGTATTTCCTTGCACCCACCTTCTGATTCGCTTCTTCGCATGTAGCGAATGGCCATCATTTTGCTACTTTGTTTTTCTTTCTTAATTTGGACACTAGCACTTATAGCTTTGGAAAAATCATGGCACACAAAATAATAAAATAATGGCATATTTGCATGCATACATACATACATATATAATTATTACTCTTTCTCGCTCATCATTTTTTCAGTCTGGCTAAGTCTTTACTTGTCGCACCCAATAGAAATCACCGGTATTTGTTTGGCTGTCAGATTAGCCTCACTTGTTCCTGCGCTCTCTCTCTCTCACGCACTCAAACATAGATCGTAAAATCTCTGTTCCCACTCTGCCTTTTTTACATATTTTCTTGCACTCACCTTCTTTTGCTGTACTTCTTTGCATGTTGCAAATGGCGTTCACTTGCCTTTTTTTTCCTTTTGCTTCTTTTGACACTAACACTTGGCCTTTTGTGAATACATTTATATTGATATTATAGCACAAAATTTGTATATTCATATTAAAGCACAAAAAAAAAAACAAATAAAATAATAGAGGAGGACTTTACATATATATACATATGTATACATATGTATGCACACTTTTCCTTATCTTTCTTTGGCCTTTTGATTCACAAAACAAAAAAGAAGTAAAACACACACACACACACTCTCTGTGTATTCATATTTGATTGTTTGCAATAAAACACATTACTTCACATTTAAACATTGACTTTTAATGAAACACACAGCACGAAGAAACAAAAGAATGGGAAAAAACTTCGCAGCGCACGGCTTCACTCCTTTTTCGTGCAACTTTTTTTTTTTTTTAATGAGAGGATCAGCAGGAGGAGAAGGAAACCAAGAAGCGCAAAATCTATGCAACATCGGAGCGAGAAGAGAGTGATGTCATTGCAACATTAAGAGAGCGATTTCGGGAGAGCGAAATTCAAAGAGACGATTTAAGCAGGAAGAGAGGGAAAAACGAAGCTGTATTTTAGGAGCAAAAGGAGTTAATTGTTTCTTTAATTTTATTATCCAATAGCACAAGATCTAATTGACCAATTGTCTTAAAATTTGAAACGTAATTTCTTCAAGTATTTCTACAGGTACTCAGATCGGCCATTTTTTTATTTATTGTATTATAATTTTTATTTAACAAAGCAACTTTTTTTAGTAAAAAAACCGCGTTTTTTACTTTTTATTGTGATATAAAAGAGATAAATTATTTGAATTTGAAACTAATAAAAAGGCATTAAATTAAACTCGAAAAGCTTTTCTGGGTTTTTTGTTTAAGACTAATAAATATTCGTTTATTGTTTAAAATATTGGTAATCTTAATCTGTATTATTATTATTTATGTATTTTTTATTTTTTATTATTTTTTAATTACTTAAGATTTTAATGGCAAATCGGTGTAAATAATTGTTGGCATTCAGATTTAGCCTGAAATATAATATAATATATATATTTTTTAAGACAAGTAAAGTTTTAATAACAAAGGAAGCTTCGTTACTCCGATCGTTCCTATGGTTATAATATGGCATTTTTGTCAGATTTGTATAAAAATATAACCAAAAATATATATGATTTTGTCGTTCGATCTAGCCCATTCCGACTCATTAAATAGCTTTTAAACTAAGAGAATTCCAAATAAGGTCATAATCAACGATTATTTTTTGTTGTGTATAATATTTTATATTTACTATATACTCCTCCTACATAAGTCCATACATATTTCGCGTAGACCTCCACGAGCACAGAGAGTGCCGTCTTCTCTATATATTTGTGTACATATATAAAGCTCTTATCAATTCCAGCCAAAGACAGATGCCTCTTCGAAAGTCTTTAAATAATTCGGAAATCAGTTCTTTAGAGACTTTCAACTTCCGCAGTCTTACTATCTCCTAGTAAAAGGATGCGCAGCTTCACTACATTCTTCCTTTGGGCGTTGGCTGCCAGTATCCTGTGCCAAGGATTCTTCGCGAAGGATCAGTCGGGGTACATTTGCCTCATTGAGGATCCAATACAAAATCAGTGCGGCAGTATTTGTCTGACTGAACTGAGCCCACGGCTTAGCGAAGTCGTCAAGGCCCAGAACGAAGGGAACACAAACATCCGTGAATTTGACAAAGAAATCAAATCGAAGCTGCAGACTTTGGAGGTGAAAATTGGAGAAGTGCAGGCCAAGCTACCCCAGGTGCATGCCGAGCTGGAAGAACAACTACAAGGAGTGGAAAATAAGCTGGAAGGACGACTACAAGGAGTGGAAAATAAACTGGAAGGACTACTACAAGGTCTAGAAAGACAACTTCAGGAGGGGCAAACCAAACTGGAGGCTAAACTGGGCGAAAGGCTCAAGGATAAATTGAAAACCAACTTCGGGCGGGTTTTAACAAAACTGCAGGCAGTGTTAAAAGATATAAATGTTGCCAAGATGGAAATCCCGGATCGAATTAGTGATAATATACCATCTGGTTTCGAGCTAATCGGTGACAGATATTTTAGAAGTGTAAGTGAAAGAGTGGATTGGGATACTGCTGAGAGAAAGTGTCGTGAGATGGGAGGTTACTTGGCCTCCTTTCGAAATGAAGAAGAATTCAACGCAATTAAAGCAAAACTTAATGATTGGCCGGCTTACTGGCTAGGCATTAATGATCGCGATAATGAGGGCCACTTCGTATCTGTGGCCTCGCACAACCCAGCACCATTTTTAAAGTGGAAAGAGGGAGAACCAAGCGACAGAAATCATGAGTGGAACTGCGTCTATTTGTTTAATGGCAGAATGGAGGACGGCTCTTGTTATGGTGATGCGCCTTTTATTTGCCAGGCGGACAATGAAACTTAGCAAAATTCGTATTAATCGTTTTAAATAAAGATATATTTTAAAATAATAACTCCTTACAATTCATTTATTAAAAAGGAGGTCTTCCTTACTTTTCAGCAATATTTATTTGATACAAGTTTTACAGGGATTATCTGGGCTTCTGTTTTAATCGTCGATTTTTGATTATATTTAAATTTGTATTATTTATTAACAGGAAAATATCTTAAAATCTCCAAATGAATCCTTGAAAACCGAAACTTTAGTTTAAATACTTAAATCTTCAGTAAATAAAAATAAAACAAAACAACAAAAGATGGCTTTTCTTCTTGTCAGTTTCTTTAATTTTGAATGCAAATGTTGTACAAAGGTAAAAATGTTTCATTCGATATTGGAAAATCACCTCTACATTTATGTACTCACGTACACCTAAAATATAAATTAAAACAATTAGCTGAATTTTACAGTTCTGGCTATTTTTTGTTGTCAATAAAACATTGTATGGTCTTAATGTTCAACATTATGAGATTTTTTTTCAGTGTATATATGCTACTTAGGTACTTCTCCACGCAGAGAGTGCGGTCATCGCTTTAAATAGCTCTTATCAATTCCAACTTGGATCGGATGTTTCTTCGGAAGCCATCGAGGGATTCCGAGAATCCGTTGATAAGGGACTTTCAGCTTCAGCCAGGAACCCCTGATCTAAGTCACGTTGATTAAACAGAGCTTTTAGCTACAAACTACACTTTTTTCAGCGTAAAAAAAAATAGTTATAATAATAATAATAATACGACAATTTTGTTTGGAATTTTGTATTTTCTTTCTTAAAAACAATTTTTTTTATAAGTACAGCTTCTGGAGAATGCAGACCAGACATCCCTTTTTCTCTCTTCCTTGCCGCATACCCTTGTCCAAAATCCTCTTAAAATTGTCAAATGTAACAATGTCCTATGTGATGCGATGATGTTGGGGGGTGTGGCGGGAATTGTGGTGGCTGAGGGGAAGGACATTAGCGAGCAGGAACAACAATGCACGAAGGACAATCAAAATCCGAAAGCATGAGACTGTCAGATGCAGGAGACATGTGAGATGGGGAGGAAGTTGGGCGGCTGAGCACTCGGCGAAAACAAAGGGGCCTTTCCTACTTTTACTCCATAAATTCAGGCAAAGAGCAGAGACAATGAATGATCCAAAAAGCCAGGAAAGCACGGGAGAAGGAGATGTGCACTGTTAAAAAAAATTGATCATAAGTTGAGTAAATTGTTAAAGGTATTTGGGGAATAATAATGGAATAATTTTTATTATTTATTTAATAATTATTAAATCTTTATTAATTATTTAAATTTGTTTGTTCTGTTCATTTGTTCATTTATTTTGTTTTATTTTTATTAATGTTTTTTTTGTTTTTTGTTTATTTTTATTAATTTTGTTAATTTTGTTTACTTCCTTTTTGTTTTTTTATAATTATGTTCATTTGCTTATCTGTTTATTTACTTGTTAATTAGTTCCTTTGGTCATTGTTTTAATTGTAAATATATCAAGCCAGTAATTTATTTCCCTTATTTATTTATTTTTTTGTTAAATTGTTCACTAGTTCATTTTGTTCACTTTTGAATGAATACGTTCATTTATTCATTTCATAATACATCATCTGTTCATTTTGCATTTGATTAATTTGCTTACACGTTCATCTTACAAATAAAGTAAATGAAATATATAAAATGAGAATTTCTTATAAATATAATAATAGATTAATTTGATATCTCCCTGCTTTCATTTTTTCCCCGTGCTAAAATGAAGAGCGGAAGCCAGGAGCTGAGACAGTTCGAGGGACGTGTTTAAATTTAATCGTCACTTGGAGGATAGAGACAGGAGGGACATACACACATCCCCTGCTCCCCTTCTCCTTGACTTTATGGCATTTTATTATTTTTTATGATTGTTTACAAGACAAGCGGCTTTTAGGCACGCTGCATTGCAACCTCTAACCCGCAGAGAGGATGGTGGTGGTGGCGGTGGTGGTGGAGTGTCAGGCACATGTTGAAACAAAGTGCTTTTGTTTGGTGACATCAAGTTAAGTACCTGGAACCCAGGAACCCAGAAACCCAAGAGCCAGGACGAGGGGGACAACAAGCACTCCCGAGCTGATGCTTGACGTGACTCGAGTTCGTTTTGCATTTGAAATTTGCATTTTTAATGAAAAACGGTTTTAATTGCATGAAATTGTTTGACTTTGTTAAACAGCAAGATCGAGTGGTTGGGGGAGATTCAAAGCGAAAAAAGGGGGGAGAAAATAAGTATATATATATAGCAGGAGCAGGAGCAGGAGCAGGAGCAGGAGCAGGAGCAGCAGTGGATGTGGATGTGGGAAAGCAAATAAATTCAAGTACGAGAACATTCTATTTACACGCCACTGACTATCAACAGGAACCGGATGCAACACTTGGCAGCGCTGCCAACCGCACGACTTCGACGTCGACTTTGCACACTGTCGACTTAAAGCACTTTTTTTTGTGTGTGTTTAAAATATTTAAGGAAATTGGACAGAAGCTTCATGCATCAGAATAGCATTTATTATAATTTAGAAAGCCAAAAACTAAGACTAAACTTTTCTCTAATTAAAAACTGGTAGGTGTTTTAGTCTAGGGTTTAAAATTTAAAACAAAAACCTTTCCTTCGATATCATTAATTTCCTACGAAACCTTAAGGGGGGGGTAAGGTTAATTCGGTGCAAAAAAGGCAACTTTTCAAAAAATTATTGTGGCGAAACGGCTAAAGTTAGCTTAATGAATTAAATACCATATAATAACACAACATTTGAATAATTTTTGATAAATTTTGTATTGAAAAATATTTAGAGGTAGAGAAGTTATAGGGAATCTCCCGAGTCGCCTCCAAAAAAAGTTGTTTTGCGGTGTACAACCTAACAGTTCACAGGATCATCCGATCTAAAAAAATTATACCTCATTCGTTAAAGGATAAGTGTCCCGAGGTATTCACGAAGCGTTTTTTTTTTTTAGTTTTTTTGTGATTTTTTAGGAAATTTGAAAGTCAAAAACCCGATTTTTGACTAAAAAAAAAACGTTATTTCTTAATTTAAAAATATATAAAAATTAAAAATTAAAAAAAGGCCGACGTGAATACCTGAGGAATTAGTTAAAGAATGTGTGTGCCAAATTTCAAATCGATCGGTCCAGTAGTTTTTCTGTAATCGTGTACACCGATTTGAAAAATTGAATTTTTCAGGAGAGCGCTTTAAACTTTGTGATTCCCATGCATTGAACACCAACCGACCTTCGTTCAACTCCGCATAACTTCGTCAATTTCACTCTGATCAATGTAAAACTTGGACACAATATTCTTAAGATGTTAAACTTTAAAAATAAAAAATAAAAAAAAATTTACAAAAAAAAAAATTAAATACCTTACCCCCCCCTTAAACCACTGTACATGGCATTGCAAAAATTATAGCCAGACACGACGTGGCTGAAAAATTGCTGGCAAAAACTTGCCGAAAGTGGCAACAAACAAACAAACGGACAGCAGATAGAGAGTGAGAGAGAAACAAGCAGAGGAAGTCGCGGACGGGGATGAGGAGGAAACTGAGGCAACTGGACGCCAACTGATAGCAAATATGTTCCCAAGTACTTTCGGAGAAAACGTTTTTAAGCCAGCGACAAAACTTTTACCTCGATTGCCAGTGGGAGAAAGCCGGAGAAAAGCGGCAACAGGATTGCGAGAAATGGAGCCAAGGGTATGCAATGGCACTGAGAGAAAAAAAAAAGGTGAAGGTATTACAAAAAAACACATTACTGGGGTATAATTAAGCAATTATTTTGTAGAATAAATTATTACCAAAAAGAGGTAAGAACAAATTAAGAAACTGTAGCAGTTTTCAAGGTTTTATTGCTAGAATTCCCAACTGATTCTAGCATTAAAGTTTGCCTGTAACTGAGGAATAATTCTTTAAGTAAAATGCCTTTGTTTTTGAAGATTTTCCAGTAGAATTCCGAACTAATTCTGGCTTAAAAAATACCAATAAATTATGTAAAAGTCGAAATATTCTTAAAGTTCCATTTCTTTCAGTGCTTGAGGAGTGTCAGGCCGAGTCTCGTGCCCGTCTTTGACTCGCTAAGCCGCTTAAATCTTTCATGTAAAATTTTCGTTCGCCCCACTGGCTTTCCTTTGTTTTCCCTCAACCAAATCTAGAGCTATTTCTAGCTCTCTCTTCATTCTCTATACTTTTACCCAAACTGCCGCTACTGTCTCATTTTTGCTCATTTCTGCAGTCGATCTTTGGACTTTTGTCGCTCATCCGTCTTTAATGAAGTTGACTGCATTTTGTCTTTGGCCTTCGTGGATGGTTTCCCACTTGTCCGCTTTTCATTTTTCAAACTGGCAAATATTTTCCCAGCAACTCCCGGAAACTGTTGCTGCTGCGGTGAGAAGGTGGTTGGGTGTAGTTCTGGGGGGGTGGAACATGGCTGCTGTTTGCGTGATAAAAGCAAATTTTCACTTTTGGCTTTCGAAGCTTTTTCTAGCTTCTGCTGGCATCGAAGTCAGGAAGATAAATGCTGATAAATGCATTCAACTGTTTTGGAACAAGTAGTAAACGCAGAGGCGTGAGCTTTGGGAAATGGAAAATTCAAGGGATGTGGAAAAATTAGCCGGTGACACCTTCGCATTTACCAAATAAAAAAAACGGGCCTTTTGCGCCTAACGAGTTCCACTTTTGGCCAGTTCTCCGACGGAATGAGCATAATTAGGCAGCGGGACAAGTGCCACCTGTCCAGGGGTTTGATGAGAAGGATTCAAGGGGAATCCTTTTGATTTGGGTCAACGTACGTCAATTAAGTTAATAGCGCCACATGCCGCAAAAGGTCGTCCCGAAGGCATCCAGAAAGTTGCAAGGAATTTTGTTAACAAAAAGTGCTGTCTTCTTGGAGATTTTTTTAAGTGGATTTACATGAGTTCTAGGATATTAAAATTAGTAAATTCATAAATTCAACTGGTTTTTTTCTTCA